AGGCTTACTTTCAACTCTTACCTTTCTTGGAGTAAAAAAATTATACTTTTTCTTGAAAAATAGTCCTGACTGAAAGAAATATTTAGCAACCCTTTTGTAATTCACAAGCTATATGTGACAAGTCACATTCATTTCAATTTTCAAGTTAACTGATTGTAAATCATTTCAGTTTTTTAAACCAGTTTGCTGTAATAGTATAAAATTATTTCTAGCAAAATTATATTAATCACTTTACACTTAACTGGTTAGAATTAATTTAAGACAGATGACAATTTTTTCCTCCTGTCAAGTGCTTCCTGGGTTGCAAAGAAAGCAAATAAGAGGGAAAAAGTACTATTTTATTTAAGTAGTCTGTAAATATGTTGACTATTTCCACAGCCCATGAATCTCTCCAGAATTTCTTGCTGACTTAAGTTACATGAATTTAAAAGCACATCCTACTCTTTTTGGTTCTCTTAATATTACTGTTGATATCTGAATATCTTAAGCAGGACTTTCTTCATAACAGAGTAAAATAAATTTCTTTCTTTGAAACTAGTTTTGAACAAGGTGTTATTGCAAAAATTAAGTAGCAGCAAGCATGCTGAGGAATTATTTAGGAATGACTCAAGCTCACATAAAAATAATAAAAAAAATATATATAACTGATCTGTTTTTCAGTCACTCTGAACATTTCTTGAAGAAAAGTGAAAACAGAGGTGATTCAGTTACATTTCGAGTGAAACAGAAAACAGAAGCTGAAATACTGATTATAAGTCTAACATAACTGTGTAGTTGTTTCTAATACACAGCAACCTGTCAAGCTGTGCTAGAAGCAGTGTCCACAGAAGATGGAGCAAACACAAAAACACAACTTCCAGCTCAGGAGAACCACATGACACCAAGGACATAGCGCTGAGAAGGTCTGAATGCTGCAAAATACCTCTCTGGGATTGGACTCTTAATACATTCTTTTCCCCAAACATGCAGTGCCCTCTGTCATGTCACAATCCCAAGTCAGATGGGCATTTGTTGTGACCCTGAGCAAATCCTCTTGTCCTGATGTTTTTAAGGAAGTGTGTCCTTCAGCCTCCACCTCTGAGCTCCCCCATCAGGGAACGCTCATTGCTGTGGCAGCTGTACATTCACTGAGTTAGTACCACATTACCATGGCACTATTTCTAAACACTGGTACGATCTCTAATCCCATGAAAAACACATAAATGCCTCTAGGAGCATGCAAGTTGAAAAATACTACTGTTCTCATTTATTATTGCTTATGGTGGTATTTTAAGTACTATTTATGCTTCATGCTAGGCTCTCCTATCTCATCTTTCATGGCTCTGATTTACAGGTCAATAATCAATGTGGAACTGTTTCCACAACCTTGGTAAAATCTTATTCTAGCGAATACTTTGCCTTTAAAATATAAATGTGACTACTGTAGGGACAAGAAGAAAACAACAACAACAAAAAAAAAATTAATAAATGTAGTGCACTAAAATAAAAAAAAAATAGGAAGAAGTATTTTCTGCATTTTAGCTCAAACCAGGAAATGCACACATTTTATCATTCTTGTATACTCCAAAAAGTATCTTCTTCCAAGTTGGACAAGAGGATGCAGAAGACCAACCACAGGGTTAAGTATCTCCCTTTCCTTCAGGCACTACTCATTCACCCCTCTATGCTGCTACTTCCTTCACTTCCCTCTTCAAATGATTCAGGCCCATCTACATGGCATCCTTTGGACTGTCCTGTTTATCATACAATGAAAAATGCTTCAATTCCTCATAAATTATTATGAATCATAATACAAAATACCATCAGCTTCAGAAAGTGATTTGTCATGTTTCAGCAACAGTGAGAAGGGTTTTTCCCCTATAGAGAGTCCCATTTATAAACACTGAACCTTCAGAAAATCTTCATGAGGATTTGACTGACTCAAGGACAGTGTGAGTGAAAATGACATCAGCAAGGGTATTTGAATGCTAACAGATCATTTCTTTGTAGGGAACTATCTAATATTCCAAAGCATTCATTTCTATCATCAATCTATTCAGTAGATAGTATAGACAAAGATAGACTCAATGTGTAAAGAAGACATAAAAACTGTATCATTATGAAATCTCAATTCAATTTTAGTCAAAGTCCTTTATTAAACAGATTATCATCAGGTGTGTCACTCATCTAAGCCTCTGTCTTATTCTTCCCCATTGTAGTAAACATTTCGAGTTGGCAGAGTCACAAATTCTATTTGCTATTCATATCACATTGTCCTTTGCTTTACACATCTCACCACACACTCTTCCATTTGGGCCATGATTCAAACATAGGCACCACTTACTTACAAGCAATCAGCAAAGAGGAATGAAAAAGAATGTACATTTTACAAGGTTTTCTATTGATTTTTATTTTCTTTTAAAATCATGTGGAAATAGATGTCAACAGACTATTGTCAAGGTTGGGGAGGGAAAGGAAGATCTTAGTAATTCTGCAAGAATAAATCAGGAAGGAAACTAAATAGAAAAACCAAGTCACATTAGAAAATCAAATAAATAAGAACCTAGAAAACCACTCAAGATAATTACCCTCAGAATATCTCATCCTTAACTGTATATACATCTAATAAAAATAGAAAGTGTTCAACACAGGCATTTCTAAAATTTTTACTAATCATGAGACCTAATGTACATTTTAATGTAATAATGTAATTTTAAGGGAACATTGTCCTGCTGATTACAGAAAGTAGAGAATACATGCTGTCCCCTATGTTTTCCAGGGAAGGTGGGCACGACCAAGCTGAGCTAGACAAAAGTCTTCTGGAGATGACACTAATGGGGTATCACACAAATAAAGGAAATAAGACCTCTGAAAAAATTAAGCCCTTACTGGTGGTTGCCTGAAATATTTGTGCGGTCTTGACAATGTTTTGTCTACCTCTACTGCAGAAATGGTTATCCCATTTTGCACACCATGTGCAGGAGAGCAGCATTAACTGTGTGAGTGACCATCACAGCCAGAAAACATGACCTGAGGCTGGATGTTTTACATCTGATGGCACCAGTAAGCAGCAGAGTGTTGTCTGAGCAACCTTATGTCAGTAATCCATCAATTTGATAGCCCTGATTCTACTTCTTCCATATTTCTGTCCCCACTAAACAAAATTTGCAAGATACTAAGAGTAAAAAGAAAAAGTGATTTTTATCACATCAATGATTTGAGCAAGAGCGTTCCAGCATTCTCTTATGTTTCATAGATATATTTAAGATTCCCTTCACTGGAATACCGAGATGACAAAAACACCTTGCAGAAGTTTTGTATCAGTTTGAATACAGATACTTGTGTATGCACCTCTCAATGATACAAGTAAAGCAGATAGAAGTCCTTTATTTCCACCACGGTTTCAATCTGTGTTTTCCTTGCCATTTTCTTGCTATAAAAAGGTATGAGACAAAGCCAAATTTCAGTGTTCAAGTTTCCTTAAAAGCATACCATGATTTCCGGCAACAAGAAAAGTGAAATCAAGGGAGGTGGCTTGTGGATAACAAGGGTCCTAGGAAGGGTTGTTTTATTGATCAGAGGAGCACTTAGAAGGGGAGGCCACATCAATTCCATTCCATTCCTAACCAAAATGTTATGGTAAGCAGGGAGATGGAGGCAGGTGAGCATCCTCTGAGATGGCCTGGGGTATCCCATCCCTTTCTGAATGTTGTCTTCACAAGGACATCAGTCTCTGCAGGTCTTTATCTCTGACATCCTCAGAGGAGAAGCTTTACATAGGACACCTGACACACATTCAGGCAATGTAAATAACTGCTGCCTGTCCATGTGTGCGTGATCACTTCAGGTATTAATTTAGGTGACTTAATGAGATGATTGTGTCCTCTCCTCCTTTTTCACTATATTCAAACAGAGCCCAGACACAAGTTTTTTCACCCATACAATGTTGCCTGGAGAACAGAGTATTTTCATAACTTTGCTTGCATTACTTAGCCTTCAGAAAATGACAAGTGAAGGAGCCACAAGTACTATTCACATGTAACTGTTAATCAGGCAGGAGCTACTACAATCAAGTGTTGCTGAGTTTGTCTCATTTGGATGGGCTGCTGGACAGCAAATAAACCCCTGGAAAATTTTTAAATGCTCTAAATGAGTGTTGTCCAAACTACAAGTCCAGTCTCTAAGCAGAGTCCCAAACTTCCGCGAAACCATTTTTTTCTCACAATTGAATTAGCATCATGCTAATACAATATTACTACTTTGTCATTGAGATTGTGACTGGAAAATATTTAGGTACAAACATCCACACAGATGATGCAAGTGCAGAGTTAAACATTCCAACAATATTCTTGGAACAATTTGGATTACAAAAACATCTCGGTCCAGTGATTGTCTACAAGAGATATTTATTTCATGTATTAGTATCTGAAAGGTTTGTTCACCTTACTGGCTTTCACTTTATTCAAGTTTTGATTTGTTAGTTCAAGTTATGCCATTCAAAAGCTAGAAAATCCTTTCTGGCTTTGCAAAGAGCAGAGAGATTAACATTGGAAAGGTGAACAAAAATTAAAAGAAACAGACCAGCTGCAGCTGGTCATGAAATCAGAGCAGTTTTATTTATCTGAATTCATTAGAAAGTTCAGAACTGTTTCCAGCTAACTGGAAGTTTTGTGTTTTCTGCCCATGCACCCTAAAATATGCTGTGGTGCAAAAGGCAAACTCTTTTTCTTTCCTGCTGATTTATTTATGTGACACCAGGATTCATAGACGCTAACATTTTCTAGTACAGTGTCAGTCACAGACATGTGTTACACAGGGAGAGAACACCTCCCTTGGAATTGCATGCCCAGGTCCTCCTGGCAGATTCAGTGAATCCAAAGGCTTTTTACTTTTCTAAAGTCTGCACCAGCAAGGCTGAATCACAAATGTGTTCAAAAACTTCTGGAGACATCACCTCAGAGGGAGCGCAAATAATTGTAATGCCCAGTGCATCAAACCCCACCCTAGAGTTTTGACTGTACCTCTGTGTGAGAGCTGCTCCAGGATGATCCTCAGGTGCTGCAGAACAGGGGCTGAAATGTCATATTTATAGATGTCTATTACTGGCACTCTCTGACATCTCCCAAATATTCCATCTGCAGGAAAGAGAAAAAGAGAAAAGGAAAAATACACATTTCGTTTTCTGAGAGGAAGAATGGCGTGATGAGATGCGCATTTCCAATGTATCCTAATTATATACTGAAGGAACCTTTCAAAAGACACTTTAAAAAGTTATCAAAGGACCACTGAAGTCATGAGACAGAATATTTTCTATCAAAATAAATAAATACTGGAAAGAATATTAGTTGGAGGAATATCCTATTGTATGAGATAGGCATACAATTTATTTTATAAAGTATTTTCAGACTTCTGCTTCCCAAATCTTTAGATGTAAGACTTCTTTACTGAAAATTCAGTGAGAGAAAACCTTAATGTCCAATGCCTACTATGTTGTGGATTAAAAGTGCAGCATCCAGAAATATAAATATTAATTTGCAGAAACTATGTGGATTTGCTGAAACATTTTTAATGCAGGAGCTGTGTGTTAGGCATTGGTAAATGAGAACTGAATCCATAATGGCTAGCAAAGGCTCATTTCAAGAAGTACTCTCTAATGAATGCAATAAAAGAAAGCTCCTCACAGAACAATGAGATATTAATGTGGCCTAATTTATTTAACTCCATTCCATTTGTCTGAAATGACAGACTCTTCTCATCAATGTCTTTTCAAATCACACCTTCTAATTAATTTAGCTTCTTATTAGTCTTTATTTAGAGAATTGTTCATTTCGAGGCAAGCTTCCTGTGTATGTGTGGGAGGAATAGGGAGTTCAAACATTCAAATTACCTTTCTCCCTTTCATACAAAAGCCTAATTCAGAGTCTAGGTGCTTCACATACAATCTGACCATCTGCAATTCTGGGTCTCGGAGAAAGAAAGTGGTTTCATTTATTGTTCAAAATAGTTCTCTTCTATATAGTGATCCAAAGGAAGCAATTTAAATGCAACAAGTTTAATTAGCAAAATATTCTGCTGCAATCCTAGTTTTAACACAGTAATTACTTCTGCTCTGATACTACATCTATGCTCCAAAAGGAGAACTACATCAGATGAGCAGAAAATAAGGGCAAGCATTAATTTGCAAATGTCCATTACTTTCTGTGCTACTTCACAGAGCTAAAAGACTACAAACGGGAACTACTGGCCCAGCTGTTCACTAAACACAAATAATGGCATAAAAGAAAATAAACCAAACCAGGATGCAGAAAAAGGGCATTATTAGCCCTCACTATTAAACACAAATACCTCATTGAAATTAGCCAACTTTTTCTTTCTTCGCCTTTCCAATCCTCCTGTCACTTACAACTGCCAAATTAAGTTAATTCAAATTAAAACCCTACATCTGAATCTAATTTTGCTATTGGAAACTAGGTTTAATTTAGAAACCACATAGACAGATATGGTTTGGTTTTCTGACATGTAATGTGAAAAGAGCCTAAGAGCAGATTAAAATATTCATCTCTGTTTTAAAACCTGCTGCAGTTGAAAATAAGCAAAGTATATAAATATCACTCAACTTGTAAATGGATGGATAACAGGAATAAGGTTTTGATTCAGAAAGGAATAGAAGAACATTTCAGTGTTTAGGAACAAGATTATTCAAAATGAAACATAACCTGAAACAGCCAGTTCTATTTTGGAATACCACCATTGCTGGCTACAGAGAATTAGGACAAAATCTATGTTTACATAAACAACTAATACTCCACGCACTTTTTAGAGATAATGTACCTTAAAAATAATTCTAACCTTATTTTAGCCTACACTAAAGCATACACAATCAGTAAAAATGAAAGATTTTTGTGTTAAATAACACTTAAGGATATCTCTGTGGATGCAAAAGCTAATTCACTCACAAACTCTAAAAGAGACCAAACCATTTTCCTAAACTCAGTTTTCAGAAACCTTCAGCCTATTTCCTTTGAATAGAACAAAACCCATTTAAATTCTAAAATTGACAATTAGCACATGAGCCTGAGCTGTATTATACAATCTATCCAAAAACACTGGGACTGCATAGGGAGAAACTGCAAGTTACTTTGGCTTTTGTACTTGAAATATGGGCATAATAAGCTTTGGAGGGGCTGCAACCACAAATAGCGCTCGGCTCTGCTAAATGCAGCACGAGGAGAGTGGAGAGAGCAGAATGCCCCAAGGAGTGGTTGGCAAATACCAGCTCTAAAATACAGAGGATCTTTGTGCTGGGGATTACAGTTGGACTGGAGTCGTGCAAATAATACATTTCATAGTTCAGCTGCTTTTTCTAAAAAGTAGGAATTTTCCCAGATTTTACTGTTTGCTTGGCACTTTCTTCTTGTTGGTTGGGGCTGGTTTGTTTGTTTTTGGGTGTGTTTTGGCTTTTTAATTATTTTTTTTACAATTAATAAGGTTTCTGTGGCAAGATATAAGACCTAAAAAATTAAATTAAAGTTTGGCATTCCATTTTCGGGGTGCTTTTTAATAAACTTGTTTTCAATTACAGAGATTGCAGGGGGAGAAAAGGCAAGGGAGAGACGTTTTACCAAGAAAAAATGTCAAAGGTACCCCTCTTTTACTTTCAAGAAACCTAAATGGCAGATGTGGGGTCAGAAATGGCTCAGGTCCAGCACAAAGCTCATTTTTACTTAAAAATTAAATTAAATTAAATTACAGCTAATATTTAAAATGTCCAGCTTAGTCTGCCATGAACTATCCCAGTCACTGTGGTATTTACAGCAAGTCAGTACATGGTGCATCTTTCTGGATTCTGATGTGCACCCAGCTGGCCTCAAAGAGTTGAGAGACATGCCCAAAGCTGGGCATACAGCAAAAACAAAAAGTGGAAAAGCTCCCAGATTGGACAGTAGATGTACTGGGGCAGAGGAAGTTCCAAGAGTGAGTGATGCTTTAATAACACCATGCTCTATGCCTATGGCTGCTGAGAGTGCTCATACTGAACTTCAATTAAAATTGTGTTAGGAGAGGGAATGTAACACGCAAAGGACATCTGCACTTGACACAAGCCCACAATGAGAGAAGGCTGAGACTGATCAACAGGGATATATGTTTGCTATTAAGGTGTTATCATTTGCTGTAGGTAAAAAGTAGAAATTTCCATAATAATATCTTAAAAAAATTAGACCCGGAAAAAACCACATTAATAGCATGCTCATGTTGGCTTTTAGAGACGTGCTAGATTTGTTGTAAAGAGACTAAACGAGAAGAATCATACACCAAGGTAGCAGTGAAATGTTTCTTTATCCATTTGGGTCTTTTGCTGATAGGTTTAATATCTGAGAAGAAACACACAAATTTTTACAAGCTTTTATTTAAAGTCTTGAATTTTGACAAATATTTATAAACTAAAGAGTTAGATGCTAAGATTAAAAGACAGAAACTCAGGTGTCCAATAAGATCTCAAAGAGTGTCAGATGTCTTTTATTAAAGACAACACCCTGGAGCATAGTATATGTATTTACACTGAATATTTATCAACTTCTAGTGAAAAAATTACAACTAATAGATTAAACCATGAGCAAGTCAAAACACAAGTTCTGGAAGGCTGATTGTTGGCAGAGGTTTAAAAGAAAATGGAAAACATCCATAATTATTCATTATTATTGCCCATTTGTCATGAATTAGTGCATATTTATGACCTCCATTACCTACTAAGGAAGTACCACATTACATTAATGATTGACATCCAGGTACTGAATTATGTAAAAGGAGACCACAAAAACCTATAGTTTGAAACAGTTTTGAAGAGTTGATTGCACCAGTTTGTTCACTTTGTAAAGAAGACAGGCATCAAGTGCTTAAGAGGTACTAAAAAATCTTTGGAAAGTTACGCTGAGTGACAGCCTTCACCTTGAAGGCAACACTGTTTGTGGGCAGCTGATTAATGAAGTTCTTTTTGGGCAGTCTTTCTCCAAAAAAATAAAAAAAAATATTAAAAAAAAATATCTGTGTATATAAAAAAAACAGCTGTCCTTGGCAAGAGAAACATATCCCATCCTGGAACCACTAAGTATGGCTGCTCTGGTGATGGAAACCAAGACATGGCACAGTGTTGAATAATACCAGCAAAAAAAAAGAATGAATTCCTGTTGGGTGTCTTTTGCTACTGAGCAAAGTCATGAAGACTGGTAGAGATACTGGAGTTGGTCTGCAGGCAGCTGAAAGCTTGATATATGTAAATTAAAAGATTGTGCTGTGCAGTAATTAATTATTTAGATCTGCATGCAGTGAAACTTTCACACAGCACTGACAAGTGACCTTTGCAAAGGAGCCTTCGAGGAGATGCTTTGAAGCACCTGGTTCTTCTGCTCTTCAAAATCCTGCAGCAGCCAGAAAGGAGCAGCTCTCCCCTGTCAGTACTCACATACATGGGCCAACCAACACTTCAGCTTCCTTGCACTAATTACTAATTTACTTTAATTTGTTAGCAAATTAAAGTAAAGCTTTGTATAAAACTCAAGTTTTGTCCCATACTGCAGTCATTGTGATTTGTTCCTGTGTTATGTAAAAAAGTCCAGAGACCCAGTGGTGTGTCAAATGGCAACTTCTGCCACCTTGGCTCACATCATTTGTGCTCTTGCAGTTAACAAGAGAACTACTATAATGTTTTCAATGGGCATCATTCTCCAGCAACTTAACCTTCTGTAAGAAAAAAAAATCCTTTCTTCTCTCTGGGCATCACTTCACACTACTTCCCCTGGCTAGTTGTTTAAGGTGCTGTAAGGTCCAGGACTAATAAAAAGGTCATTGTTGTAACCCACAGTTAGAGCCTGAATTTCCTACTGGAGAAATTAAATCCTTTTCCAACAGGAAGCATAATATTTGCATCTCAAAAGTCTCAAGACACTGAACTTCAAGGTCACAGATGGTAAATGTTTTGGAAGCATGAAGGAGATTGTTACAGTATTTTCCTCTTCTCTCCCAGCTATTTTCCATAGTATGAAGCTTGTTTTCAAAACTTAAAAAGAAAAAAAATTAAATGTTACTGCTCCTTGAAGAGGATGTTAAGTTGTATGCCAGGAGCCTTATTTCAAAAGAT